TTCCAAAAATTAATGAACCAAAATAGCTTTTTTTCATTTTGCACCTTCTTAAATATAATGGTTTTACAATGTCAATAGCTCTCTGTAAGCGTGAAATTAATGAGCTGCTAGAAATTCTAGGAGCTGTAGAGTTGTAATCCAAATATATTTGAAGGGTGTAACTATTGTTATATTTAGTTTTCTCTTTGAGGACCATGCTTTTTGGCCTTCAGATGAGAAACTATGTCAAATACTAAAGTGTTCTTAAACCCCCTCCCCCATTTAATAGAATTATCTTCTTTCAAAAATCATTCTCATATGTCTTTAAATATATCTTTCTGCTGCTGAAAAAAAAGCTACCTTATACAAAAAGCATCTGTCATCTCTGGCTCCCTGGTATTTTTCCAAATTATTCTTATTAAATTTACCGAAAATGCTTATCAGGTGGGAGTGGTGAAATAAGTTTAGAAAATCATTAAACCAGCATTTGTTGGATATTCTTTCACAACTTAGTTGAGAAGACAGGATTTCAGTTCTGTTATTTTCTTTTAATAGAAGGCAAATGCAGTTATAAAATGTTCCCTCCTCTCTCTCTCTCTCTCTCTCTCTCTCTCTCTCTCTCTCACACACACACACACACACACACACACACACACACAATCTGTCTCCTTGGACTGCTGTAATATGTATAGTATAATCTATGTTTTCCATCATATTGGGATGGGGAATAGCTATACTTTGTGAAAGAATTCCAGCCAACTGTTGGGAAATATTCCAAGATGTCTTTTTAAATGAAAATTCATATTCATATTCAAACATACTTTAAATATGGACTAATTCAATTCCTTCCTAGAATCAATCATTACAATTAAATTAAATTTACATTGTTTATTCTGTTCCTGCATGATGAAATTAGCTTTATTAAATCATTCCTGAAAAGTGATATAATACTTCATGCTTAATAGTTAAAACAAATTCACTTGTATTCTGGTATGAAATGTTTTGACGGTTCTGAGTCCTATTGATCTTTGCAGGGATTCTTTCCACATAATAGAATCAGGATTTTAGAAAGCTGCTTATTTTTTAGGTAACTGGCTCATTTTTAGTTGCGCAACTACAGCTGCAGTGTCAGTGACAGCTCAAAAGCCAAGAGTCAATGGTCTACAATTTACACTTTTCTCAATGATCTAATCCTGCTGAGGATTCATGGCGGTGTTACAGCCAACAGTAGAACATAAATCTATATAAAAGCAAGTTTATACAGAGCCATGTCATATAACATCTATACTTACTGAAGCATGAAACAAAAAGAAACCATCGCTTCCTGCTAAAGGTGGCTCCTAATATGTGATTATTGGATTCATACATTGTTCCATCCTTTTTTCCAGCAGGAACTGCATATGTATCATATATTACCTCTTAATCTGCTTGTTCTTAATGGTCTAACAGTTAGAATTGATCACTTTAGCACCAAAGCCCAGGCTTGAGTCAGAAGGCAAAAAAGCATACCTTCTGCACAAGAAAACAAAATCCTGGTGCTCTCTCCAACATGGAGCTGCTGTTTATTATAAGCACCTGGGGACTGGTGATAATCCTGGATCAGGTCATGCTTTTCCTGAAGGGGGTCTGTGATCCAAAGATCTTCCTGGACTTGTGCCTATTGCTCAAGCAACAAATAGAAGTCATGACTAGGGGATTTCATCCAGCTTCATCTGAGATGCCAGTTACGGTCTACAACTGTTGCTTATGGTCCAAGTAATTATGGTTCAGGATGTTCTGGCAATGTTAATTTGTGTCTGCCTAGAGTTCCCAACTGGGGGCGTGAGATGATATTCCAGGAGGTCCGAAAACTTGGGTTTAGAAGTTTCAAAATTGAGGTGTATATGCATAATTCGTTGCTGTTATTTTGAACTTTTGTAAGGGGTGCGAGAATATATCCGAAGCATTCTAGGGATGCGGGGTATAGAAAAGGTTGGGAGCTGCTGGCCTAGAGACTTACAGGATTACAGGAACGTGGTCTCTAAGGGGCTGCTTTTGAAGATGACCCAGAAGCTATAGCTAGAACAAAACGCTGCAGTTAGACTACTGATGGGACAGCCAGTGTAGACTGAAACCTAATTTGAAATCACTGCACTGGCTATGTGTAGTTTCCATACACAATTCAAAGTGCTAGTCATAATCTCTAGAACCCTGTTCAGAGAAGCTGACACAGATCAGGCTCCTTGTCCAAGTCAAATCTTCATGCCAAGTCTGGTTACTGAGAAGAGCTCTGTTGAGCATCCCACCTCCTTGTGTGGAAGATGTGGCATAGAACAAAAGACATGTAGTTCCCACTTAATTGAACTCTCTGTCGTAGATCTTTCTCCTTGCTTTTTGGAAGCAAATTAAGATACCGTACCATTATGCCCTTGGTCCAAACTGATTAAAGATGTAGTCTAAATATCTAATAAGAACATGTTTTGTTGCTTTATTCAGGATGGGTATGGGCTGCTCCAATTCTCATTTTTCTTCATGTTTGTAGGGGAAAAGAAAGTAATAGCACTATCCAGTAATGTACAATTGTGGGTCTAGTATCCTTTCTATGGAGAAATTAGATTGATGGCAATTACAGAAGAAAAGTGATGAAGAAAAAAAAATACAAGTTGATTCCTTTTCTTGCAAGCTTTTCTCTGCTGCACAGCACACTCATATTAATTTGAGTAAAGGAAACAGCTTATAAGCTTTAATAATCTGCCCATAGTTGGCTGAGTAAAGTTTCAGAACTACAATAAATAACATTTGAAAGGCTTTCTTATCTCCTGAAGAAATGTGCCTTCAAAATAAAGTAAAAGGAGTAAAAGTTGGCAGGCACCCTTAGCAGATGGTGCATTAATGTATGTTTTAAGGAAACAACCATGTGGCTGCTTTTTCATTTTTACTGAATCATCACTCATCCCATTATTTGGTTTATCATTTTAGAGCTAATGCTGAATGAAGCAGTAGATTTCCAGACTATATCACTTCCAATTCAGCATTGTGTTGGTGAAGAATATTTATCCATACCAACTTTAATGCTGCTGCATGTCAAAAAATATTCTATGCTAAATAAATGCAACAGGGCAAAGTATATATATATATATATATATATATTCTGATGGCCAGCAGTAAGAGGTCAATGAAATTTTAGTTCAAAAGATCTGGTGGGTGCTAGATGTATTAATTGTATTAATTGAATTCAGAAAGAGATGCTGTGGATTGATGGCTCATGTGTCTGGAATTGGGTAAGTATCATTTTTGATGGACTTCTGTTCTTCCTGGAGGAGCAGAAGTGTAAATAGTTTTTATATTCTCCTAGATTTGTTTCCATTACTCAAAGATCCAAGTGGCCTTAATGGACTATAAAATATTTGGCCAGTTGTAGCTGACACTTTTCTTTAAACAGGGATGGCCTTGTACCTCTATTGGTAAGCCTTGCTTAAGGACAGTCATTGGAATTAGCAATTGTGTTGTTAAATGATGCAGTTGTAAAGTGCAGAGTCATGTGGCTGTGCCAACTTATGACAGTTCTGTTGTTGGGCAAATCGATGCGATTGCAGTGTCCTGTGGCCATATGATTGCTATTGGTGACCTCCTGCTGTTTTCCGCATTGACTTTGTTTGTTGAAACTGGTAGAGAAGGCTACAAATAGCGATCACATGAGCAAAGGATGTGGTGACCATTGCAATTGCAAATTGATTGTCAGGAACCCAAATCACGATCATGTGACTGGGAACACTGCAACAGCCACAACTACAAGGAACAGTCAAAATTCATTGTCATAACATTGAATGGCTGCTGAATTAGTAGTTAGTTGCTGAATAAGGACTGCCTGTAATTCATTTTCTGGTAATTTTTATGGTTAGTTGACTGTAGAGTAGATTTGTCCTTGAACTATTTGAAAGCTTCAGCTAATACTGAGTAGAGTGGCAAGACTGCTAAGGAAGCTCTGCTAGCTGCCTGAACTTCCAGATGGAAGTTTAATAATGACATTTAAGATATGGAGCCCTGATACTTGAGCACTGGAGTGCCTCTCCTAGTGTGTACTTGCCTAGCCATATTCTGTTGTAAGAGCTTTACATGGGGACTTGGGGGAGGGCCTTCTCTATCGTGGCACCTCAGCTCTGAAAACACTTTTTCTGAGAATCTAGGAAGAAATCAACTTTGTTTGCTTTACAGTGACATTTCTCATGGAGAAAATAAATCTAACAAACAAAATGAAGAGTGCACCCTTTCCTTCATAATACCAAGGGAAAACTCACAGGAGGAAATTGCAACCTAAAGAACCCCCAACGTTCCATCCTCTATCATTCTATCTCCTTCACAAAGGTCTTTCCAAACTCTGCTGCCTACCATGAGATCTCATTCCAGATACACTGATCAGGACTGGCCAGTAAATCGGATCCTTAGGATTTTCCACCTTGCAATTCTCAATTTCTATAAAATCTTTGGTTTCCCATGTTTGGGGTCCCTCTTTCTGGTAAAGCATGCACTAAAAGAAAGTGTGGTTCTCCTCCTCCATGTTGTGCCCCTTCTTCAGACTGTTTCGGTGACACATGTAAAGATCTGCTTTTTATTCTTGCATTTGGGTCACAGCAAGTGACTCAGGGCTGCTGTTATTTTAAAAATCCTGTACTTTTCTCTTACCGTATTAGGTTCATTTTTATTCTTTAATTATACTTTACTATTTTGTACTAGGATATCTTATAGATTATGTTCTACTTTCACATTTTTAGAAATAAATAGGCAGCAGGGATTGCTTTAAAAATGGAAGGACATGAAAACAACTTGTTGTCTGGAATGATGTCCAGGACTGTATCACATCATTTTCTTCATATTATGCATATAATACATTAAGTGATATTAATGTTGTAATCCTGCAATGGAAGGAAATACGTTAATATTATATCGGGAGTTCTTTTTGTCCATGTATACAGATATAGACGCACATTGCTTATTTTCAGCTTTCCAATTCTTTTGTTGTTGTTTGTTGTTTTCCCAAACAGGTTGTAATGAAAATGAGGCAGACCATCTGGACAGAGACCAGCAGCCTTATCCCCCATCTCAGAAGACTAAGCGCATGCGCACTTCTTTTAAACATCACCAGCTCCGTACCATGAAATCCTACTTTGCCATTAATCACAATCCAGATGCTAAGGACCTCAAGCAGCTTGCCCAGAAAACTGGACTAACTAAGAGAGTTCTGCAGGTAAGAAGCCTTTGCTATAAGTGTCTCCCTTCCATTCCTTTCTCTCCATTTAAAAATTGCATATCCCTTAGATTTCCCTTCTGCCATCTTAAATTAGCCGACTCCTCCAATAGATAAATAGGTATTCATTTACATATTCAGATCTTATCCTCCAAAGGTACTGAAGGTATATTTAAGTGGGCAATTATGCTTCTCTCCAGAGCTACTGCTCTCAGGACTGAAGGAAAATCAATTTTGTTTGCTCTGATTGGGATGGGAAATATGTAAAATATACTGGTATCCTTTGTAATTAAAACAGTAATTGGATATTGAATTTAAGGCAAATAATCTATTTTACTGCATTTCTCCATTTTTATTAGCCAGAAGTAACCTCAAGAGGCCTGTGTGTCAACATGAACTGAGTTTTATTATATACAGTCAACAATCCTATGGGAGTATTTGTTGCTATACTGCATTATATTAGAATACTAAGATGATGTGAAGGAAAACAATTTGGCCTCATAGTGTCACTAGCAAGTTGATTTAACACTATACATTGAAGATTTTCTGGAGGACTGCATAGAGAACATTCATAGATTTAATTCTCACCACTGAATTCTGAAGCAGTGCAGTACAGCAATTAATACATCACATGGGATTTGTGTTGTATGTAAAGTGCTTTAATCTGTTATCTTTGGGTTGCTCTGTAAGATGTGATGCTCTCAAATCTGACTCTTTCATAACATAGTTGAAAAAAACCAATAATTTTGGAAGAAGTTATAATATTTTTAACAGATACAGGGTTCTGGCCATAATGTATCATACCTATAAATGATTTAGATCATTACTTGTGGGCCAACTCCATAGAAGCCAACAGAAATCAGTGGAAGGAGTTTAAGTGCAAGAGACCAGTGATCGTAACGTAACTAGCTCAGCTTTGAAATAGGACACACAGAAACCACATAAGAAAAGTGGTGCACAAATTCTTTCATTCTGCCTTTAATAGTCTCCATGTTTTTAAATGATCGTAAGAGTTTTTAGAAGAATATTTATTTTATCAAGATGTTATGGCACAAGTGAAAAACAAAAACAACCATAGGTGCCCATTAAAAGGATTATTTGATAGTCTTAGTGAATTATCATTGAAAGAGTCCCCAGATAATATAGCAGTAAGTGTGATCAGTGCAGTGGGGGAAGGAGGAGAAAGGCAAAACAAGAAACCCACCATCCTTTAAAATGCAAACAGAAATAGGAAGAAGCAAAGATAGTCAAAAACAAAAGCTAACGTTGGTAAAGAAATCAATTGGGATTGGTTTGCAGGTTTGGTTCCAAAACGCAAGAGCCAAATTCAGAAGGAATCTTTTGCGACAGGAGAATGGGGGTGTTGATAAAGCTGATGGCACGTCACTTCCGGCACCGCCCTCAGCAGACAGCGGCGCTCTCACTCCACCCGGCACTGCGACCACTTTAACAGACCTGACCAATCCCACTATCACTGTAGTATCATCAGTGACCTCTAACATGGACAGCCACGATTCCGCGAGCCCCTCACAAACTACCTTAACAAACATTTTCTAACATTTGATTTCAAAATTCTTATTCGTTACTTCTGCTTCCTCTTCTTCTTTCTCCATTATATGATTATAATTACTATTAATATTATTTGCAACATTTTTAAAAAAAAATAAACAACACCACAATATATTTGGGAAAACCATCTTGGTGTGTAGCACCCACAACCACTTGGCAAATGAGTTTGCAGTAATAGAATTCTATTATAATGCAACATGAACTTGTCTATAAATTGTTGTTGAATTTTCTTTTAATCATTGCCTAATTAAAGGGAAGGTTTAAGTGCCTCTTAAAATTGTATGTTCCTTATTTCCAGAATTTGCTGGGGGCAAAATGGTTGATATATTAATCATAAAGCTGTATTTTCAAATAAATAGATCAGTGTTTGTTTTCTTCAAATGATTGGCATCTGAATCATAAAAAATATAAACAATTGAAAGGAAATCCCGCTGAGCAAGGCTGACCAAGCTCTTTTGGTCTAAGTCAGGTGATCTGTGTAACTTGCTTTCTTTATTCTATGGTGGTTCCCTGCAATTTGGAAGCTGTCTTTATGATATGTTTGCCATGTACAAAACCTACTCAATTTGCATTCTACCGTGTTATGATGTGACTTGGTTTGGCATGCCAAACTAGTGATGGTTGCTTTTGGCATCAAATTATATGACTGACCTGCCACTTACAAGGAACCAGCATAGCCTGAAGAAAAAAGTTGTAAAGCACAAAATTCAAATAATATACACATTGGGATATATAGAAGGAACCAACTGAGTAGGAAGAGCCTAAAGAATCAAACTATCATGCTCTAAAGTCAGTTCTTATAATGTTATTGCACATCAGTTACAGATGTGTGTTAAGACAGTTGTTTGTATTCATCCTGAGACATGGCATACGACATGTCCTGCAGAGGAGTCTCGCTCATATACAGGTCACCTAATTAAATCACATATGGGTTGAGTATTAACATAATTATGTCAGAGATACTTGTGGTCTACTTGCCCAGATGTCTGTGACTGTTTGCTCAGTTAATTTTTAGATGCCAACATGCTCTGACCATTTTTAATCAATGCCAGTATTTCATACTGAAAGGCTGCCCAGGAATTATTTGCATTTCAAATTTTTAATCCTCAATTTGTCATTCAGATACTTACATTTTGTACTTTCTTTCATTTTCTATGCATACAAAAAAGTTGTAAAAGTTTTGCTTGGGACTGAGGTTTGCACAGTTTTTATTAGGCTTAATAAGAGAGGGAGTAGTGTGCCCTGGAAATAATGGGCTCCAGCCCCCCCAAAAAACATGTGAATTCTTCATTTATTAATTGGCTTCTGTATGATGCTTTATGCTGTAATGTTTAGAAGCCTCTTCAGATATATAAAAACTGATAGCCTAAATGTGAAAATCTTATTTTCTGTATTTTTCTGCCCATTTTCTGCCCATCAACCTTCTTTAAAACAAAAGGAAATTTATTTCTGAAAATGTATTATATATAAGACCTTGAATGAGCAAGGAATTAACAGATTTCATGTATCATGCTAAACCATTGTTTAGTGAATAAACCTTAACTTACTGGGTTTAAGTTAGTTAAGTCACAAACTCTTAATTTACAAACTATTGTATCACATAACACATTAAGACCAAATTAAACAGTATGTAGTATATGAACCCTGCCACTTATTCCATGTTTTAGCTATATTATTTTTCAGGATTTGTAATACCGCAGCTATGTCTACGTACATACAATGAATAACATTTAGACTACATTACCTTTTCAGCTAACTTAGGCCATTTATGAATGTCAATTGTTAACTTTCTGTCCTGCAGGCTAGTAAATACTGCTGGAAAATAGAACAGCCTCAGACAGTATGAATGTTGGTTGTATTATCTAACACAAACTTTTTTCTAAAATACATTGATCTTAGAAACATTTGCTTGGGGCTAATCCCTATTCAACTGTACAAACAAATATAGTTTCAAGCTTCATCTGGTTTGCAGTGGGACTGATAGCAAAACACTAACATACCCAAAGATTAAATTAAATAACAATCCTGTTGATTTAAAGGGAAGAACTAAATGTCTACTCAATGTTGTCCCATGGAAATAAAAAGGATTTCAAAGTACATAAATTTTGCTAGATATTATCAGTAGTTTGAGGCTAAAAAAATTTCCCTATTAAAATGGTAATGCTTTATGCTCTATATTAATTATATCTAAACAAGAGGGTTTATTCTGAGCCTAATGGCTTGGGGATTGCAGCCGTTATAGTATCTGTCTTGGATAGTGTTTTTTCCTTAATAAGTGTAAAATCCAGCATGTGAATATTAAACACTTTTACATTTCAATAGGACAAGGTGGAGTACTATAAGTATAAAAAAAGAATCATAATCTTTACAAAATTACTAACCTTCATCTTTAAAAACATGAATTTCCATTATTAAAGTAACTGTTCAGATTTTCAATCATTTTCAGAAGAAGATGGAAATAGGCAAAATATAATTTCTTAAAATGTTTGAACAATTACTTAAAGATATTTATTCTTGGATGTTTTGAACATACTTGCATTTTTTCTAATATGGGTAAATGCTGGCCATTTTAATGTATTAACTTCAAAAGACAAGTTCAGCAAATATGTGAATACAGTAATACTGTGCTACTGTCATATTGTAAGTCTGCCTGTTTTAACTCACTGGGAGCTTATTTCCAAGTAAACATATATATATATATATATATATATAGTACTGCGCTAGCTACATGGAACTTCACCTAGGGTTAATTTGTGTGTATGAATTTATAATTAATACACAAAATAACACATGCAGAGGTAGACCTACTGCTCTAGCAGACTTACAGCCACATTTGGTGATTCTAGCATAATTCAATGGGATTTAAAAATGTAGTCTTAATGTGATTGAAAATCAGTCCCATTGGACCCAATGGAATTAATTTTTGATTAGACATTATTTGGATTGCCCTGTATACGAGTTTAATTCCGTGTTGGATGATGATCGCTCCCCCTGTCCCCATTTTTTTTCATTAAAAAGGCAAGCAAAAGCTCTCTTCTAATATGAGAAAACACTTTACATTAAAAACAAAATCCTTTTGAAAACTGAAATTCTCGGAAGCTGCCAAACTCAGAAGCCTTGTGGATGTATTGCTGATCGGAAACACCTTTCCTAGTTTACATTTGCAAGTGGTTCATTTTTATTTTTTTTTAGTTTAAGCTAAAGTCTGAATGGTCTGGGCAGTGGTGAATGTTCATTTGTATCCTTTCTTCTGATAAAACACTAAACAGGGGAGGAGACTTTCCAAAAACTATCAAAATCATGTTTTGGATAGATTGTTAAGAATAACTTTTGCACAATATTTTATATTTTATCCATCTTTTCTTTGTTCTCTTCCCCTTTCCTTTACATCATACCCTTCTCATTTTATTTAAAATCCTTTTTTTAATTGATTATTTGAAAGTGGGGGGGGGCTTGATCTCCAATAATGAGTGGATACATAGTGACAGTTCACTGCCCATATTAAAGTGCATTATTCTAACTTTTGCTCAGGGTTTTTAGAAAATTAGCACAGAAAAGTAGCTTATTTTTTAAAGAAAAAACAATGGAAGAGATGTTAACACTGTAATGGAGAAAATGTGTCTTTGTTGTTATATATTTAGCCAGTGTGGTCATGATCTTCTAGAAGGCTTAAGGCTCCTGACCTAAAGCACATTTAGAAGGAAGGAAGTTCAATTGACATGAGTGGAATTTACTTCCAAGTTGATATAGTTAGGATTGAGGTGCCAATCTTGGACTTTTCCTGTTTCTATTACCTTATGGGCATTTACCACTAACCAGACCAAACAACCTTGGAAAGGCTGAGATCTTTATTAATACACTTTTACAGGTACAAAAATTGATACATATAAATTTTGTTCTTTGACAGAACAACTATATGGTACTATAGATCTACTTTATTAAGTAGACTTCTTATAACTCAGTTCTACAATGTGCCTTATGCTATAACTTGGGAGTAAGCTTGTGGAAAAAAAAATCAGGATATATATGTGTTGTTTGTTAAATTAACTGTTTTAAACCCTTTTGACACCTCACTAGTTTTGTACTGTTTTACCTCTTATTTCTGAAACTCTTTTTATGGTGTAACCTGGTAGAGGGGACAAACATGTCATAGAAAGCAGTTGTGCACTCTTTCGGATATAGTTGATAAATTCAATAATCTTATATATTGAGCTTCGTGTTTATAGTACAGTTAAGTGGTCTAGCAAAGTTGTCCATGTTTTCTTTGTTTTATTGAAAAATGCATTGTATAGAAACTATTTCCCCTAAATATTTATGGACCAAACAATTGTGATATATCCTATTAAATTTGTGTGAATAAACCATTTTGAATCAAAGGAGTTTTATTTACCTTCAGTTTTCTTTTTTTTAAAAAAAATTGGAGTCTTTCCTGACTGGCAGTGTGTTGTGTTGCTTTACAGTATGTGTGAATTTGTGTGAAGTACTTAACACATTAATGGGAATCTTACAGCAATTACAAAATAAGATTACTTCTAGTTTTTGTTTAATAATAATATACCTGATGTAATTTAAGATTTCTATTTTTAAAAATTGAAAATAATGCTCCACTGATTGATATTACAAGCCAATCTTAGGTTGCAGTGTTTAACAATATAGCTCTGATCCAATGAGCTCTAGTTATACTTAAGGCCAATGAAAAGTTGGACAAGTTAATTGTAATTAATTTGAGTCCTATTGAACGCAAATTCAACTAGTTTGAGGTGGCTTAGAATGGGAATTCCCTTCAAGTCATAGAGAGCACAATTTAAAATTTTAAACCAAATTAAGTCTCATTAAATAGAATGGGACTTAATATTGATTGAATTCATTTCATTGCATTTAATGAGACTTAATCACATACAACAGTTACTGGGTTGCACCTGTTTGTGTTTTAAGAACAGGCTGGCATATTTCTTTTAAAATCATTAAAAAATAAAACCAATTCCAAC